TGCTTGGCATCATAGGCATCTTATTTAGAAGAATGAATGACTTTTTTGTCATTTAAGACCATGCGATACATAACATTCACAATGCATTTTTGTATTTCTTTTATGCCTGCATTTTCATGCTCCCACGGTTGCGGATTTCCCATTTTACGAATTTATGCTTATGTAAGAGTCCTTGTTCATTTATATACATCTAAGTAAATTTTATATACACTAATTTGTTATGATGGAGCAATTTTGAACCTAGGGTTCATAGCATGCTCCCTACTTTCATTTTATTTGTACCTTGCACTTAAATTTGGATGCAATACTTGCTCTTTTCTTCCTCATTTAATTTTGGTTGGACAAGGGCTGAATATCTTCACTGTTGGCTTGTTAGGCTGGGTATTGGACTGAAAATAATCAATAGTTTTCTACCTCCCATATTGGAGGGCATACTTGGAGCAATGATTATAATTCCCCATCATTACCTCGAGCTGCACGAAGTGCTAAAATCACAAAATAACCTCTATGCAAAGCTAAGGCTGCATTAACCCCTCGAATATTGTATTGATGGGAGCCTATTATACCATACTTGCCCTTCTACTTCTCTTAATTGTAGCATAGGGGTAGTTTTCTTATATTTTTGTGTCAATTGTTTGGTATTGTTATTTTTAGTGTAAAATTTTTATTTGAGCATGAAGTATATTTTGATATTTTTCACATGGTTCAACATTTCTGTCGTTCTTCTTGCAACAGAACAACCTACATATGCAAGAATTTGCTATGCAACACTTGAAAATGCTATCTAGTAGTCATCCATAATGCAGTGCATGCGTAGGAACTTCTTTTTCAAGGCCATCTTTATTTTTCTTTTTTTGATTGGGGAGACTAATTAACCTATACTATTTGTCAGTGAAACCCTAAATCTTCATTTTCATAAGATGCTTGCTTGCTTGCTTGATTTTATTATGGTGCTCTAGTTTTTTTTCCATAGAAAATTCAAGATACTTGTGTATAATATTGATTGAGACATCATTTTAAGTAATGTTTCTTCAGTACGTTATAATTTTAGGGTTTACTAGTCTATTTATGATTCAGCCTTCTTAGTCTGGTTTCAAGAAATGCATGGCACTATGATGTCAATCAGTTAATTTCTTGATGACATAACTTTTCTGGCGCAATTGTAAGATTGGAAAAGGTCTACTTGTAATTCCAAAGTGTAGGAATGTACAATTTCATGATCTTATTTTTGATCACCTCATTTTAGGATTTAAGGATTCCTGTGTTAATTGTACCTAAACTGTATTATTCTTCTATTAATGTTTTCTAATGAGACTTCGTTAAGGTAGGTTCGAGTGAAAGCTGCTCTAAACAGGCAATCAAAAACTCGACTTATCGGACCAAACTGTCCTGGTATTATCAAACCTGGAGAATGTAAGATTGGAATCATGCCTGGGTATATCCATAAGCCGGGGCGTATTGGAATTGTTTCACGATCGGGTACTTTGACCTATGAAGCGGTATGAATCGAATAAATTCATGCAGCTTTAGATTTAATGGAATATGAGTGTAACTCTTATTACCTATCAGGTTTTTCAAACAACTGCTGTTGGCTTGGGACAATCAACCTGTGTTGGCATTGGCGGTGATCCCTTCAATGGAACGAATTTTGTTGATTGTATTAAAAGATTTTTACCGGATCCTCAGACTGAAGGTAAGCTATTTGATGCTCTAGAAAAATTATAGCATTTGCTGCACCTTCTTTTTTTAAAAGCTAAATCATAACTTT